ATTGTGCTGGGTCTGTCTGTGAAAAAGGTCATTATGGTTACTTGAGATCTAGTGTTCTCTTGATCCCTCTGGCAGTCCAGGGAGGAGGCACTTGGTAAAGATTGCTCTTCAGCCATGTGGCTTGCAATTCTCATAAGGTTCTCAGCAGTTAATATTCCAAGGTTATGTATTCTGCAGTGAGAGTAATTATTTCAGTGTGCAGCTTAAGCAGTCCCATTCTTGGAATACTGTTCACCGCTGTGAAAGTAACAAGCATATCAAAATCCAGTGAATCTTGTGAGCTGCTGTCAATAAATTCAAACAATAATGTGAATCGCCCACACTAATCGCACTCTCATATAAATGCGTTCATACATCTATAACATCAAAGTGCCGCTCTTCACTGTATTAATAAATACTATGTGGCAAAATACAGTACTAGTGCATTATGTAATCATCAGCATTCTAAAATGTCCATGAACATCAATGTGTGGAAATAAATTCCATTTAAAGCATTTCTTCAATTATGAGCCATCTTCACAAATATAAGAACTTCTTCCACCACCGTTTGTGCAAAAATATTTCAAACACGGTGACACACCATCCTCCACCAGATGTGCTCTTACCTGAGATATATGACCAAACCAGTGAGGTCATATAGCACTTATGCCCTTATAGTAGGATTGAGATACACTATATTGCCAAAAGTATTGGGCCACCTGCCTTTACACACACGAACTTTAAAGGCATCCAAGTCCTGGTCCGTAGGATTCAATATTGAGTTGGCCCCGCCCTTTGCAGCTATAACAGCTTCAAACTCTTCTGGGAAGGATGTCCACAAGATTTAGGAGGGTGTCTATGGGAATGTTTGGTTATTCTTCCAGGAGCACATTTGTGAGGTCAGGCACTGATGTCGGACGAGAAGGCCTGGCTCACAGTCTCCACTCTAATTCATCCCAAAGGTGTCTTAATCGGTTTGAGGTCAGGACTCTGTGCAAGCTAGTCATGTTCCTCCACCGCAAACTCGCTCATCCATGTCTTTATGGACCATGCTTTGTGCACTGGTGCACAGTCATGTTGGAACAATAAGGGACCATGCCCAAACTGTTCCACGAAGTTGATAACATTAAATTCTCCAAAATGTCATGCTGATGCCTTAAGAGTTCCCTTCACTGGAACTAAGGGGTCAAGCCCAACCCCTGGAAAACAACCCCACACCATAATCCTCCCTCCAACAAACTTTACACTAGGACCAGTGCAGTCAGGCAAGTACCGTTCTCCTAGCAACCGCCAAGCCCAGACCCATCCATCGGATTGATAGACAGAGAAGCATGATTCGTCACTCGAGAACACATCTCTACTGCTCCTAGAGTCCAGTGGCGGCGTGCTTTACACCACTGCATCCTATGCTTTGCATTGCACTTGGTGATGTAAGGCTTGGATGCAGCTGCTCTGCCATGGAAACTCATTCCATGAAGCTCTCTACACACACTGTTGTGCTCATCTGAAGGCCACATAATTGTTTAAATTATAAAATAATAAAAAAAAAAAAACGGAGGTCTTCAGCTATTGGCTTTGCCGACAGTTGGCAGCTTCTGTGCACTGTGTGCTACTGACCCCCGCTCTGTCATTTTACGTGGCCTACCACTTCGTGGCTGAGTTACTGCTGTTCCCAGTTGCTTCCACTTTCTTATAATACCACTAACAGTTGACCGTGGAATATTTAGTAGCAAGGCAATTTCACGGATGCACCCCCCCCCCCCCCTCAGCACAAACGGTGGCAAAGTCCGGATGTGACCTATCACAGTACCACGCTTGAATTGACTGAGCTCCTGAGAGCGACCCATTCTTTCACAAATGTTTGTAGAAGCAATCTGCACGCCTAGGTGCTTGATTGTATACACCTGTGATCATGGAGGTGATTGGAACACCTGAATCCAATGTTTGGAGGGGTGTCCCAATACTTTTGGCAATGATATTTTCCCAGGGGTCAACTATGAACTCCCTTTACTGGTTGTAGTGGAGTGACTCCTAAGGTTGAGGGTTATTATTTCTTCTCACTTTGTCCTATCGATGCTTTCTCAGCATGAATATATATGGAAAAAATATCACCAACATAGTGCTTATATCCTTTTAAAATATCATTAAGAATGTTTTGTATAGAATAATTCTCAATAAATGAAATCACTCTTTGCAAGGTTCTTAGCGCACCACACTATTTTGGGACATCAAGTTTGGTAATACACTAATAATGTACATGCACCGATCAGATGAACAGGGGAAGGATTGTGTTATAACTTGTCTATTTCTCATCTCTACACACACTGTCTCATCTGAAGGCCACATAAAGTTTGGAGGTCTTCAATTGCCCCAGTTGGCTCCTACACTGTGCGCTATGCCCCGCTCTGTCATTTTACATGGCCTACCACTTCGTGGCTGAACTGCTGTTCCCAGTTGCTTCCACTTTCTTATAATCCACTAACAGTTGACCGTGGAAATAAGTAGCAAGGAAATTTTAAAAGGTGGGTGGAACCTATCACTTACCACGCTTGAATTGACTGAGCTCCTGTTCTTTCCAAATGTTTGTAGAAGCAATCTGCATGGTGCTTGATTGTATACACTGTGATCGAGGTGATTGGAACACCTGAATCTAATGATTTGGGAAATATTTTGGCAATATAGTGTATGTTCCCATCAGATGACCCGACTTATATTTCCACCTATCCTTTGTCCTATCGATGCTCCTCACCATGAATATAATGGGCAAAAAAGCACCAACATAGTGCTTATCCTTTTAAAATGTTGTTTTGTATAGATAATTCTCAATAAATGAAATCACATTTGCAAGGTGTCTTAGCGCACCACACTATATTGCACATCAAGTAAAATTTGTACATGCACCGATCAGTGAACAGCCAGGTGATAGTCACTTCATCTCACTAAACCGTGGCGTCGTGTCAAGCCCCTCTCCTACACGTTATGCCACCGATCACATGATCAGGTTGAAATGATTCATTTGTTGGGAATTATCTATACAAATAAATTTTTAAAAGAAAAGCACTTTGTTGGTGTGTTTTCCATATATATTCATGGCTGAGGAGGATGGGGAAACGAAGAAGAGGTGGAAATATAAGGCGTGCGGATTCATCTGACCCGACTGGGAACATATCAGTCCTACTATAAGGGCATAAGCGCTAAATGACCTCACTTAATGGTTTGGTCATATGTTTATTTTGTGTTTTGAAATATTATTTTGTCACAAACCGTGGGGAAGAAGTTTTTATATTTGTGAAGATGACTCAGAATTGAAGAAATGCTTTAAGTGGTAATGGGATTATCTTTTGGAATTTTTTCCACACATTGATGTTCATGGACATTATATTTATAATGCTGATGATAACATAATGCACTAGTATTGTATTTTGGCACTAGTATTTATTAATACAATGAAGAGTGGCACTTTGATGGTTATATAAAGGTAACAAGCGTATGCTATATTTAAAAATCATTAGGAAAGATGCAGGCAGTCATTCTTTCTGTGTGCTTCCTAGATCTGTCACTGGGGACCATCTAGGAAACACAGTGCGGTTATGTGTTGCCACATCAGAGAACAAATGGCTTGGTTAGAGTGACCTGTGACCATCTTCTACGAAAATGAATTATTCAGACATGGTCACTTTTCCACAGACAGACCTATCTTAAAGAGGATGTTCACTCTGGGGGAAAAAGTCAGCAGCTATAAATCCTGTAGCTGCTGACTAAGGACACTTGCCTGTCCAGGGATTGAACGCTGTCTTCACCTGGGCTAGTTCTTCACTATCCTTCGGGTTTCTTCCACCAACATGCTAACTGTAGGCAGCCTGCTAAGCTGCTTCTGGCTTCACAGCTGGCTGCCCACTGTGCATGTGCAAGACGCACTGCACTTTGTGAATGGTCCCCACACTCTTCTGGGACCTGTGACATGTCCCAGAAGACTGCAGGTAGGGAGGTGGAGAGGAGAACTTTTTGGTCGGATCACCTACTTTTGCTCGATCTGAGTAAAGTGGGAGCAGGTACCTATCAAAACTAGGGTACCCGCTCACCTCCCCCCTCCAAAATAAAATGACATGCTAAATGTGGCAGGGGAGGAAGACTTGTACAGAGCTTTCTCTTTTGGGCGGAGTTCTGCTTTAATAAATGGGTATTAGAATTTGAAATTCTGCTATGCACTGCTGTAATGAAAATACACTTACAAAATGGCAAAGCTGAAGTATTCTCCTCCGATGCAAAATTTTCCTATGCAGAAATTCCTGTCTGCCAATAGATGCCTTCTGTGATGAATGATGGCCAGCATCATTTAACTGGCCAAGGCCCTTATGGATGTCTATGACCATGCTGGCCTGGGCTCACAGAACTGAACGTAGCTCATGTATCATTACATGAACAATACTCCATGCTGCAGTAATGACTGCCACTGGAGCAAAAAAATGAGGGAACCAGTGTTGTCACCAGGACAGCCAGGAGACGCCTAATGTTGGGGTATGTATTTGGGGGTCTTGAAGGGAGGGAACCCAGGGGTCAGATTCTGGATATGGTATGTTAACTATTTTTTGTTGCTGAAAATTTTAGTAATTTTTTAAATTTTAAAGACTGCTGTCTTTTGTAATGGTCAGCTGTGCCCAAAATATCAGTTTCAGGTCCATTGAATCTCCCTCTGGCTGCTCCTGGTTACTTTGTGGTAGCTAATCACTTTTCCTTTTCTCCAAGTCCATGTCTAAACAAGTGAAGAGAGAGTAACTTTTGTAATCTACTTTTGGAGAAACCATTGGAGTGTGACCAGTATTGGCCTTCTAACAGTCAAGGCAGCAAGGTGAAATTTTGGGCAGGAAATCATCTTGTCACTGAAGTCAGAGGGGTGCATCGCAGGAATACATTTTTTTGGTGAAGTTGGCCTTTTAATTAGAAAATTCAAGTGGTATGAAAACTGGAAACCGTTTATTTGTACGTTTCTTTAATAACCTTGTCTGGATTTTCCCCTCCAGCTCCTATGAAGCGGAATCCACGGCCTGACAGTTCTGCTAAATACAGTAGAGAACCTTGTAAGACACTTTTATCGTATGCTTTACCTACCTGTGTCTGTCAGGAGTGTGCCTAGTTTTGATATTGCAGTCCTGCAATAGCAAATTAGTGCTGTTCAGCTTTCCCCTGTAATATTCTCTGTCTTCTGTAAATCCCCTTTTCTGCTTAGAGAAGTCTTTTACCTGCAATATTTCACTGAAAACCTTGCAGCCGCTTGCTACCCAAAGCTTAATGTTTTTGTTCTCCTGTGTGAAAGTGAAGTGTTGCAGACATGGTTGTTAATTAGCAAACACATAAAGTGAATGTGTTATAGAGAACTCTTCTTCTTTATGGAAATATTGTTACATTTTGAATACGTTCCATATGATGCAGTGTAGTTAGCTATTTACTAATGTGACGTATTTATTGTGCTTTGTAATGAACTAACCCCACAACTTGCTTTTCCTTGATTGACACTGTAGCTGCAAGCTTCTTTTTAGGAGAATGCACTTTGGCCATTGCTAGATCTTGACGCTTTCACCTCTCTGAGCTGCTTACAGAATACTGTTGTGTCCATTTCCCTGTACTCCCCAATGGCATCTTTGAAGGATGTAATGCAGGCACGTTAGAGACGGGATGTGGGGTAATCATTATTGGCACCTGTAGTTATTGGGTCATTATGCACCTAACCAGCATAAGATGAAAAGGCCTTGGCATATGTTTTTCTTGCATGGAAGCAATAAAAAAGCACTTTTTTTTTTTTTTTTTTTTTTTTTTAAGTGCATTGGGTTAACTTGCATGAACGGTGCACTACTGCAATGTAGTAGTGTTGAGTGGTCAAGGGAAAAAAAATGAGCAGAATAAATGTTTTCAGCATGGTTTTAGAGTGCTATATAATCAGATCTCCCTAAAGTATGTTTAAAAATAGGTAATTCAAGCTTCCTGTGCATGGCTGAACAGCGTTCATGCCCGACTTGTATTTTGTTCTGAGAGGGGGAATCAGGAAGTTCCGGAACTGACAGAATGCATTGCTTAATACTGTATGTAGCCGATGCAACATTCAGCTTACAGAGCAGTCACATCTGTTATTGAAGGTAATAGTTTGTATGGACCAGCTTGGTCCAAACAAAACTATATTAAAGTTGCTGAAAGCTGGAGTTAGGGTTTAAAGTGTATGTCAGGGCAAATTAGAGGAGAAAAAAACATTTGCAGTATCTCTGCAATAATACGAGAGTCATTCAAGTCAAACTGGGTCTTAGTTTTACAGGTATAAAAATGGATGGTAGCATGGCAGTACTGCACACAGTAGTGAGTGGTAAGTGTGTCTTATTACTGATAGGTGGCGTACATGTCGCAGACAAGTCCAGACACCATTAATCATGATAACGGACAATAGTGTTAGTGTGTACACGTAACAGCGCGTGCTGATGAAGTTTCTTGTGAAGAAAGACTTAAAACCCGCGGATATCTACAGCAGACTTGAAGCACAGTACGGTGAGGAGATGCTCAGCTGCAGTATGACATTTGAATGGTGTAAACTCTTCAAAGATTGCCGTACGACCGTAAGTGACGATTCCAGTCGTGGTGGTTCCCTGCCCACAGCAGCTATTCCCGTGAATATTCAGCATGTGGAATGCCTGAGCCTGGAAAATCAACGCATAACCTGTCGTGAAATTGCACAAGAGACGAATCTTTCTGTGGGAATGGTGAACACGATGATGAAGTGAAGCAGGCTGTCCTAGGATGGTTCAGGTGTACTGACAAATCTCTCTATGCTGAAACTTTCCAGGCATTAGTGAAATGCTGGGGTAAGTGTAAATATAGCAAGGGAGGATGTCGAAAAATCAATGCAGTTTCCACTCCTCGAATTTTCTTTTATTATATAAACTAAAGTCCTGGTTTGACTTGAACGTCCCTCATACTTTAATTTTTCCTCATTTTTTTTAAAAATCTCTAACCACTTGGTAACCGCGCTATATCCGAATGACGGCTACAGCGCGGGTACCCAGTTCTGGGAGGGCGTCCTGTGACGTCCTCCCAGAACACGCCCTCCCATGGACACAGCTGATCACATGAGGAGGTAAAAGGTCAATCACAGCGGCCTTTTACCACGTGATCAGCTGTGTCCAATGACACAGCAGATAACGAAGTATATACAGTTGCTAGTTATCTGCAGCACTTTCCTTACGCTATCGGTGTCAGTGTCAGCTGTCAGAAGAGATCGACACTGATAATCTGTGCCCTGCAGTGTCTCCCATCAGTACTGCTCAGCAGTTGCGCCCAGCAGTGCCACTCGTCAGCACCCAGCAGCGTTGCTCGTCAGTGCCTCCTGTCAGTGATCATCATTGCTGCATATCGGTGCAGCATCACCAGTGCCTCCTCAATGCCCTCCAGTGCCACCTCATGAGTGCTGCCGATCTGTGCCATCTCAGTGCTGCCTATCAACATCGGTGAAGGAGAAAAATTACCGTTTGCAATATTTTATAATAGAAACAAAGAAACTTTTTTTTTTTTTTTTGCTCTGTGTTTTATAGTGCAAAAAATAAAATGCCCAGTGGCGATTAAATACCACCAAAAGAAAGCTCTATTTTGTATGGAACAAAATGATAAAAATTTCATATGTTGCATGACCACACAAATGTCATTCAAAGTGTGAGAGCGCTGAAAGCAGAAAATTGGCCTGAGTATGAAGTGGGTATAAGTGCCCGGTAGGCAAGTGATTAAAGATCCAGCAAGTAGACAAATAATTGTTGATTTGTTCTTGAAGGAAAAGTTTTTATAATATTTTGCACCTGTATTCAGGGTGTAACATGTTACTGCCACAGCTGCCTGTGTGTGTGTCCGTGACAGCAGGCTGAGGATCTTTTCCCCATGCCTGCTGTCACAATTTAAAAAAGGCAAGGCTGGGCAGCCAGAGTTGTATGAATGGGAGAACTACAAGTGCCGATAGCCTTTTTGGCTGTCGGCTTGTAGTTCTCAATGAACTACTAGAGCACGGTTGAGCACTCTAGGTAGTTAAATGATACGCCTTGTCATTGTCTAAATTCCTGCCTGTATAAGATATGAGCAGACAGCTTACTCTGACAGTCTGCAAGAGCCCTGCATTGCACCCAGGATCTGCTGATCACGTGTGCAATGCTTTATAGGCACCCATTAAAGAAAAAAAAATAATAAATGTACTTTTTTTTACATGCAAAAAGATGTGTATTTAGTTATTTTTTTGTTTTTTTCCCATCTGGCTTCTTCAGCTTTTCAGTAGAAGGATTTCGAGCAGGAGGAACAGGGTCACCCATGAAGCTTATCTCAGCCAGTTCCTGTTGAAATGAACTCCAGTGCTTTGTCTTTTTAAGGCTCCATGCCACTGGAGCTGAAAAAAAAAAAAAAACGCTGGATGAAAAATGCTCATATGAGCGTGTTTTTCTGTTTTTGTGCCAGCATTTTGCAAGTGTATAGCTAGTTAACGAGCCGACGGCAAGCTGCCTGCATCCTTCTACAATGACTCATCAGCTGTTCCTCACTGACAGATGAATTTTAATAAAAGAATTGCCAGCATTTGGCATTTAAGCGAAAACAACAGCGTGGGATCCCCCCAATCCTTACCAGACCATACCATGCCCAAAAAACTAGGAAAGGATGAGTCGGCACTACTGCTAATACTAAATCAATTAAAAAAAAAAAAAAAAAAAAAATGGAAACTGGCTTAGCATGTGTTTTTTTTTTTTTTTTTTTTTTTTTTTTTTTAATCTGCTCCTAGAAGCTGAAGCTTCCTAAATGTGTCTAGACTACAGTAGTGTGCATGATAACCCTATTTGCTTCTAGGGGCAGAAAAAAAAATGCTCAAACAGCTGCTTATTGCTAGTGTGCATGGAGACTAAATTCAAAATGGGAAGTGAGCACAGAACAGCTCTGCATTTCTTACATGATCAGCAGGTATTTTTTGCACTTATTGAACATATAAACGCTTTCAATTGTATATTTTATTGACTAAAAGGGGAGCACGTAAGAGTGCAATGTTTATGTGCATTTTGCTAAATTCTTTTGCCTCTCTGAGCAGCCACATTTTGCTTACTAAGGTGGTTTTGGGGGGGATTAGTAGGCTGCAGCTGAAATGCAGGTCCCTGGTCGGCAGGTCATGATGGGGCTTGTAGTGATTGATTGAATAGGTTGTGGATTATCTCTAGGGTAAAATGGTTTCAGCTTTTTATATATAATCTGAGAAATCAGGTTTGTTTCTGTACAGTATCTAATATGGATTACTGATATTTGTTGACCGTTTTTTGTCACAGTCTGCTCTAAACCCTCGGAACACAAATATCATAGGCAACTCATTGGGATGCAATGTCAGAACTAAATTGTTCCGGCTGGTGAATAGGTATATGATGTGAGTTATGTTGGGTGGCAAAGGTACCAAATTCTCCTCACATTCTCTCCAAATTGTTTTTTGCCTTGTCTGATGTGGCATTTGTACGTGTTTTTCACTGTTCTGTGTAGTGAGATGTAATCGCTGAATTTTTATATGGCTAGGCATCTTTCAAGTAGGGGCATACTTGCCTTTTAAAGTGAACCTATGGTTTGTACCCACCAGGCAAAGCTGGTTGATGCCTGCCAACACCTAGACCTTCCTTCCTCCAGGATATGTCTGTGATGGCAGCCAGAGGTCCACTGGTTGAGAGCTTTCAGGAGAGATTTAATTGGACATTGTAGAAAACCCTCCTCTTGCAGTGTTGGCATGCATAACCTTCCTCCCAAGTAGCCATGATAGTTTCCTTCTTAAATTTGCTAGTTCAGCAGAGCTGACCTTTTTACGTTATTTTGCAGGATAGCAAAATTTTAGGTGATAGCCAAATATGAAGATTTAGACAACATTCTTGAATGGTTTTGGTTAAAGTAACATTTGAAGCTTCCATTTTTTTTTTATTCAATAATAAGTGTTATTCTTACTTTGTGTAACGGTTTAGCACAGAGCGGCCCCGATCCTTCTGCTGTCCCCCGCTGGCACTCCGAACTCTTCCTCTTTTGTTGAGTGGCCCCATAGAAAGCTACTTTCTATGGGGGCGGTCGTGCATGCTTGCTTCCGAGAGGTTTCCTCCCTTGCCACAGCATTTGACTGACAGCAGCGGGACACAATGGCTCCCACTGTTATCAGTCTGCCCAGTGAGGGGGGAAACAGCAGTGAGAGCTGGATCTGGATCAAGCTCAGGTAAGTATAAGGGGTTGGGGGGCTGGGGAGATTCTGCAGCACAGGTTTTTTTTTAACTTCATGCATAGAACTAAAGGCAACATTTTTAGATTTGGACAGTGGAGATGTTAGAACACCTGTCAGGTCTGTGCCCCCATTAGGAAGCTTCACCCTCTGTCTTTATCCTGTTTACCATTATCATCAAAAGTGGAAGAAACCCCAAATTGTGGGTTGTCCCTAGAAAAGCAATAGAGGGGATTTTATTCCAATGGGGACACTACTTTGGGTGACTTGGGGGTCCCGAATGAATTGCCTTCATTTGCAGAGTTTTTCTCACTTTTTCTTTTGGCTATGGGACAGAAAATTAAGGTAAATATCTTCAATGGGACTCAGATCGCAAAAAATAACTGACGGGTTATAACCCTTCCTTACTCTATCCAAAAATGAAAAAAAAAATGCCTATTTTACTTGAAGGTAAAGAAAAACAAAAACCTGAAGTCTTTAGAACCACTTTTTAATCTAAACGTTTGTATGCAACTCACGTTCTTGACATTGCAATCTAACCAGCAGATTTTTGGCTGTGCTTTGTGTGATGCAGCAGTAGGCATCCTGTTAGGACTTTTGCCTATTATTATTATTATTATTATTATTATTATAGTTTATTATTCTTATACAGGATAGAAATGGTGCCAATATGTTGAGCAGGGTTTTACTATATAAAAGGAGACGATACAGATGCAATACAGCAAAATGCAAGAGGTTCAAGAGGGCCCTGTTCATAAGAGCTTAAAACGACATTCAAAGTGCAATTTGATTCTGTTGCTCCAGTTGGGAACGAGTCCTGCTTCTCTAATCTACTTTTTATGGCCAGCCTTAAAGGATAAGTACATCATGGGGAACGTGTTACATGTTCCTGTTTTTAGAATGGAACATGTGATATGTTCCCTTCCCACTGCTGCAGCCGCTCGCCGATCCCTTCTCTCTGTGACCGCAGTACAGAGAGGTTCCCTGTACCAGCTCTCACTTTTTGAAAACGCAGCTGTGCATCATTAATTCAGAGTTCTGTGAATAATCTACTACAAGTACCGACATCCTTTGCGGATGTCGGCTTGTAGTTTTCAGAGAACTACAAGCTGCCCTGTTGAGTGCTCTAGCAAGTAGTTCATTGATTCTTTCGGTCAGTATGTAACTGCATGTCTGTATGATGTGCAGGCAGACCGCTTATACTGACAGTCTGCAGAAGTCCTGCATGGCACCAGTGATCTCCATTTTATTTTAATTTTTTTTTTTAAAAGGTGAACTCCTTTTAAACCATATTAGGACACTTGTGAAGAGCAGTTGATGGTTGAGAAATGCACATTTTGGAATTTTATAGATTTCTTACATGCTGGGGAAATTGGTTTTAAAAGGGAAAGCGGAACCTCTTAACAAATGCAGCCAAGTTCTCATGCACACTGGACGTTTTTACTGCCGCTGTTTTTGGCTTTTGGCGTTTTTTTTTTTTTTTTTTTCTACAGCCAGTAAACTCCCCAGCATGTTATTTCTATGTGTCCATGCACACAGACTGTAATCAGTGTTTTTTGGCAGGAGCGTTTTTTGTCTGGGGAAAAAAAAAACTAGTGGGTTTCTATAGGCATTTTTCAGCTGTAAAAATGCTGTAACGCTGAAAAACCAGTGTTTTTGGACTTATATATTTTTTTTTTGAGCAAAAAAAAAAAAAAAAAAAAAAATTTTTGGTTTAAAAAAAAAAAAAAAGCACGAATGCAAAAACGCTGAAACTCACGTTTTTAACGTGGCTTTTCACAGCTAATGTTACCACCGTTGTTAAAACGCCCTGTGTGCATGGAGCCTAATAAGTGCTGGAGCTTCGCTGAGTTTTCTAACATGGCTGATTATAAGGTAAAATAATTGTAATCCTAGATTGTAAGCTCGAAAGAGCAGGGCCCTCGAACCCCTCGTGTATTGTTACTGTCTTGTCTCATGTTCTGTCCCCCCTGCTACTGTACAGCGCTGAGCATACCCTTTTGGCGCTATATAAATACTGTATAATAATAATTTATGTGGTGTCTTGGAGAATGCAGTTTATTGCATTCTAGCATCCGCATAATTAACTATTAGAATGTATATATCAACTGCTAGGCAAGATCAAAGAGTTGTATAGCAGTCAAACTATATAGAAAATGTTTTCTACTTCTACTCCTTGACGTAGGCGTTAGGTAAGCAGTCTTTTAGAATGGTCTCAATCTTGAATTCTTTAGTGGAAAACTGCAGAAATTGACACTATGTTGCTCCCTACTAAAAATATTCAAAATGGCTAGACCAAGAGAATAATTTTACTGTGAATGTTTAACATTTATTGACCGTGGCCAACTTGGATTAAATGTTACTATAACGACTGAACTGCTGTACATCCAAGTGGTCTTTTCTTGGTGACAGATTCTCTTTAATGTGATAAGGACAGACCACGTTTCCTTTCAAGTTTTGTTTTTTTTTTTGTTATTTTATTTGCTTTCCTTATGATTTTAGTTGCATTCTATTATTTTTTGTTTGTTTTTATTTTATGTGATTGCAGTAACAAATACTTTGAAGAAACTTGATGATCCAGCTACCAAATCTGTGACCTTGGAACTGGAACCCAACAAGTTTAAATGCAAGATTTTGGATTGCTCCAAATCTTTTCGCAAAGCCAAACTGCTGCATTACCATATGAAGTATTTCCATGGCGTTGACAAGTCAGAGCAGGAGAGTCCTGCCACAAGGCATATGCAGACAAGAGGCTCTTTAGCTCACGAAAAGGCCATTCAGCAAAGCTCAAAGAGAAGACGCACCACATCCGGTTCTCTGCGTAAGACTATTTGCCTTTGTGTCTTGTGGATGTGTTTAGGAGTAGATTGTAGTAGTGTGGCCGTAGAGTGGTATCCAGATCATGGTTGAGACATTGGTGATTCAGTGGATTTAATGAAGGGTCCATTACACTTCTGCCGCCATTATGGCAGCTGCATTAGTTTTCTTTTTACAGGCTACAATGCTTCAAGCTAGTATAGAAAATGCCTCTTCTAGACACCAATGCAATGTCCATTGTACTTTTTTTCTTTGAATTCAGTTTTGCAAAAGGTTCTCTTCTAAGCTATTTTCTGTAAACTAGCAATTCCTCTGTCTCTTGTGTGATGAAGATGGAGAGAGCTAGATGTCCTCCAGTCCAAACCAGAAGACCACTAGTGTGACAGCTATGGCTCCTTAGATAGATGCAGTGTAATGCATCAGGAGTGTTATTTGTAAGAGGAAAAGCCTGAAAAAATAAAAACTAATGCAGCCACCACATCTAAGGATTAGTAAATTGCAGTATGTTACATGTTTTGAATTTGGGTTTACATAAGCTTTAAATATGTAGCCTTTCGCCTTTGGAATCACTTGACTAGAAAGTCTTTACATTCCTCAGCAAGAGACTAAATCACTAGTGCAACTTTAAAAGAGAAGTATGGCCAAAGCTTTTTTTTTTTTTTTTTTTTTTTTTTTTTTTTAAGAGGTCATACTTCTCTCCTGGGTCAAAGGAGTAGGCTTAGGCAGGCCATAGTCGAAAAACGATGATGGTGCATACGATTGTGCCCTCACGTTCCGTTTTTCAAAACAAAATCCAGGATGTCGTATTAGGCACTTTCCATTGCCAAACGTCATGTGCACTAATGATGTGAAAAACTAACAACCAAGAATTTTCATTTACTCTTAGACTCTTCTCTGGCCTGTATTACTTTTGCACTCATGTGACCCAGAATCCGCTAAAGCCCGTTGTCTGTTCACGACACAGAGCCACTCCAGGCTCTGGAAGGAGCCTGACCATATTGTTGGGATCCATCCATATGCCTGCTTGACAGCTGGCTTCAACTCTGAATTTGACTGAGCGCTAAAGCCAGCTGCGCTTGCCCCCCTCCTGCCTGACGCTCCAGTGAGCAAAGCAGTAACTGACAATCATTGCTCTCTGACTGAGAACTGAGCGATCAGTGGTCATGTGAATACTCAGTTCTTGGACTTAGGAGGTGGGGGGCAGCTGCAGCACCACACCAATGCTGCAGCATAGAGGTGAGTATGTGATTTTTTTTTTTTTTTTTTTTTTTTTTTTACACATACCCCAAACTTCTTTTTTTTTTTTTTTTCTTTCAAGGCTGACATACATGGCTCGAATTTACTGAATTTGTCCTAATCTTGGAAAGCGCTTGTACTTAAATTGTTCAGAGCTTGGCCATCTGACATGCATATCCACTGAGCTTTTGATGGCTATAGTAACAAGCTAAAATGTTTCCAGGGTTTCTTCTACAACAGTGATGAGGTACAGCCCCATGTGTGGTGGGACTGTCACATGGCTGCTCAAATTTTGTGGCATGTGACCATTTCCACTAGTGTCTGGTCAGCATTACTAAGATGGTCTGCCCAAAGTCTAAGCACCTCTCCTGGACTGTCAACAAACCATCACATAAGTAGGCATTTGGTGCTATTTGATCATGTCTTGCAGAAGTCCAGGCAATTAACTGAATATGCAATTGATATGAATGTATGGACACTGTTTTACTACCTATGCATTTGTTATTGTGTTCGCTTCTGCTTCATCTATTCTTTGAATCTTTGCTTTCTGAGGTTCTCCTGCTGCCTTATATTACTTCAGCAGTCGTCATAGGAGGCAGCTCATGAGGATGCAGACCCTGCCTTTACTAAGGTCACCTCCATGTAAAACCGGTGACTAGTCTATTTTTTCCAGCATGCATCTTCTGTAACGGGAAGTGTTTTGGTGAGGTAATGAGTGTTCTTTTTGCAGTGACACGAACTGCTACTGTTTGGCAAAAAAAGGGCCTTGCATAAACTTGCAATTCCAGATGTTTACCATTGCTCCTAAACAGTTGGCCATGTCACCTCATTTTCTTCTTTTAGAAATATGGGCCAGCAGTGACCGGTAAACTCCTGGTGTGGATTTGCCAGAATAAAGGCTAGCATACAGTGGGGCAAAAAAGTATTTAGCCAGCCACCAATTGTGCAAGTTCTCCCACTTAAAAAGATGAGAGAGGCCTGTAGTTGGCATCATAGGTAAACCTCAACTGTGAGAGACAAAATGAGAAAAAAAAAATCCAGACAATCACATTGGCTGATTTGGAAGGAATTTATTTGCAAATTATGGTGGAAAATAAGTATTTGGTGAATATCAAAAGTTCATCTCAATACTTTGTTACATATCCTTTGTTGGCAATGACAGAGGTCAAACGTTTCTTGTAAGTCTTCACAAGGTTGGCACACACTGTTGCTGGTATGTTGGCCCATTCCTCCATGCAGATCTCCTCTAGAGCAGTGATGTTTTGGAGCTGTCGCTGGGCAACACGGACTTTCAACTCCCTCCAAAGGTTTTCTATGGGGTTGAGATCTGGAGACTGGCTAGGCCACTCCAGGACCTTGAAATGCTTCTTATGAAGCCACTCCTTTGTTGCCCGGGCAATGGTGGAAGACCCAGGAGTTTGCACAATCATGATACATGGCCCCATTCATTCTGTCCTGTACATGGATCAGTCATCTTGGTCCCTTTGCGGAGAAACAGCCCCAAAGCATGATGTTGCCACCCCCATGCTTCACAGTAGGTATGGTGTTCTTTGGATGCAACTCGGCATTCTCTCTCCTCCAAACACGACGAGTTGTGTTTCTACCAAACAGTTCTATTTTGGTTTCATCTGACCATATGACATTCTCCCAATCCTCTTCTGGATCATCCAAATGCTCTCTAGCAAACTTCAGACGGGCCCGGACATGTACTGGCTTAAGCAGGGGGACACGTCTGGCACTGCAGGATCTGAGTCCCTGGCGGCGTAGTGTGTTACTGATGGTAGCCTTTGTTACGTTGGTCCCAGCTCTCTGCAGGTCATTCACTAGGTCCCCCCGTGTTGTCCTGGGATTTTTGCTCACCTTTCTTGTGATCATTTTGACCCCACAGGGTGAGATCTTGCGTGGAGCCCCAGATCGAGGGAGATTATCAGTGGTCTTGTATGTCTTCCATTTTCTAATTATTGCTCCCACAGTTGATTTGTTCACACCAAGCTGCTTGCCTATTGCAGATTCAGTCTTCCCAGCCTGGTGCAGGTCTACAATTTTGGTTTCTGGTGTCCTTCGACAGCTCTTTGGTCTTCACCATAGTGGAGGAGTTTGGAGTGTGACTGTTTGAGGTTGTGGACAGGTGTTTTTTATACTGATAAAAAACAGGTGCCATTGATACAGGTAATGAGTGCAGGACAGAGGAGCCTCTTAAGAAGGTACAGGTCTGTGAGAGCCAGAAATCTTGCTCGTTTGTAGGTGACCAAATACTTATTTTCCACCATAATTTGCAAATAAATTCTTTCCAAATCAGCCAATGTGATTGTCTGTCTGGATTTTTTTTTTCTCATTTTGTCTCTCATAGTTGAGGTCTACCTATGATGCCAATTACAGGCCTCTCTCATCTTTTTAAGTGGGAGAACTTGCACAATTGGTGGCTGACTAAATACTTTTTTGCCCCACTGTGTATAGGGCTTGATATTTTGTAAAGTTTAAATTTTGCATTGGTTTGTGTATAGAAATGCTCACTTTTGCTTCCTATGCCATGCATTACTTTTTATCTCTATACATGAATGAGAATGCAGTGTGAATCTAAAATGCAAGCCACTTTCTTTTTTAATACAACTGTGGCTTGATTTTCTTTTTTCCCCTTTTTTAAAAGTCTTGATACCTCTCTGACAGGAGGCTCATCTTCACTTTGCTTCAGGAGCTATGGTTGCTGAAGAATCTTTAGCATCACACACACTTCTGGGTTTGCCTTGGCTCTGCTGCACACTGTGGCTTTCACCACATGCCCCTGTGTCATTAGTCTACTGTAGTAAAGTACAGGCTCGCAAGAGGAACACAGGGAGCGATGAGCACACTGTAGCATTTTGACACTTCCTGTTATGTCAGATTAGAGTTTCTGCTGGAGGCTTTAGCTCTGGAAGAGCACAAAGAATTGACTCTCTGCCTGCCAGAAAGGCAAGTTTTACAGATCTCCTTTTGCTGGAAAACGTTTCAAGCAACAGGGTCACTTTAAGCTGCATTGTACTCTAAATCTGATGACTGTGTACACTTTAGCTGTTTGGGTTTGCTACATAGATTAAAACCTTTGACAGAGTGGAGTTTAAGGCGTAACATCGAAATATAAAGGTCTGTTTATAGAAGCTGTGAGGGCAGAATGGATGCATTTGCCTAGATCTGAAGACCACAAGAGATGTAGGACATGCAGCAAGTAGAACTTAAATTGTATGTATAGCCAAATCTTTTTTTCCTGTTCATTGAGGGATACAGGAAGACTTTCACTTATGGATTATATTGCCCCCTTTGGGGGGGTGTGAATATAAAGCTGGCAAACAAAACCCTCTAGGCTAACCTCTTCAATTAGCAGCTCTGCCTTTAAAACTTAGCCACTTTTGCTATCACTTTATTGATTGAAGAAAAATGAAGACACTCTTCTCTATATCACTGCTGGAGGGGTTCTCTACAATTGCAGTGTTATGGAGTGGCCATTCTCACCTTGGCTTTTGTAGTGCCGCTTCTGGACCCAGATGGACTGGACATTGTGGGGTTAGCCTGGAAGTGCCCTACGAGCATTCTGGCAAAAAGCTTTCAAATTCCAGAGCTGCTGGAATTTCCTCAGCGCTGCCATATTTCTGAAGACTACCCCCTTCCCCAGCAAGTAGGACATGCGGGTAGAGCACCACCTCATTGCATAGGTTGCTGGGCACGTTTTATAAGTCCCCGGTTTCCTGCCAGTTTTGGCCATGGAAGGATAGGACTGAGCAATGTTGTTGGGAGTTTTACAAGTTCATTCAGTGCTCTCCTGCAATGCAGTGTCAAGGAAACATCTCCCTGTATCTCTCTGATGCTCCTGCTTGCAGAATAGCTACATGGAACCCTGATCTTTTGTTTCAGGTGCCCATCTACAGTGGCTTTGGTCACCTCTGGCTATCTAACTCTTAAAAAAACCCCAGACAGCTGGTAACATTTGAGTACCTGAAGCCTTGCCTCATGCTTTAAACTTAAGTTGCTTTACTGCTATGTAGTTGTATGTCTGTTTCTGGACACAGAGGAGACAAAATACCTCTATAATAGGTGACCCCAGCTTACATTCTACTAATTGTTCTGGGGTTGTTTTTGTTCCACGCCTTCAGAAGGGAGCCAGTGCCTGTAACCTTGAATCCTGTTGTTTTCTGCTCATAGTTTGGTTCATCATCCAAGTTCTCTAACATCACCAGGTGGCTGCAGCAGTTGACCGTCACTAATAGCATGTGAGAGCATGTGAAGAAAATGGCTGGAACTTTTCACTGCAGCTGTAAAGGCCTGCTGGTTTTTAGCAATAGATATGCATAGAATTTTTAAAGTGCTAATCTGCAGACCCTAAATTCAAAGGGTACCTGACCAACATGGTCCTCAAAGTCCTGTCTCTGGACCGGCCGCTGATTATTATAACCAAAGGTGTGACACTGGAGGCAAGACTACCTTCCTGCCTCAGGGTATGAAGCCTAGGGAAAGATTTGCAAAAACCCCTCTTGTTTCTTTACTCCTGGAGTAAGTACAACTAGGCCTCCGAAAACAATCCCTGGCCACCCGCAGAGACTAGGGGAAAAAAAAAAAAGCTTGCTAGACTCTCAAAACAAACTTTTTCCAATTTCTTATCCTTTTCATTTAGTACAGGAGTTGCCGGTCTGTTGTATGAGAGTCTTGGGTTTGTGGGTATCCCTCTTTAGGGCAGCTTTTTTTCTGTAGTCTCACCCCAGAGTGTCTTATTATACTCTGTTGAGACTAAGTTGTCTGCCCTGAAGGTCAGGTGCTCTTTGGTCTGGTAAATCTGCTTTGGAGTCAGGGAAGTCCTACCTTTCTGCTTTCTAGAAGAACCAGTTATCAGTTTTCAGCTTTTTGGACTGGGCAGAAGATGTGAGCACCCTGCTGGTGTAGGAGCTCTGATGGTCTGAGAATTATATCTCCTGGAGTTTCAGGAACTGTGGTGGTTTCTTCAGTGCTGGATGACCCCTTTTGGCAGGTCAACTGATTTGGATCGAGTTGGACAAAGCCACAGCAGTGATGTGCCTCAACCATCAAAGAGGAACATAGGAGACATGGGCCTTCTGATCTCTTCCTCAACCAGGACATCAATTTTTCAGTTCCTCTGTCCAGCTTCAGTTCAAGAGGAGCTTCTCTTGCTTGGCTATGGGTTCAGGTTGCAGGTCTTTGTCAGCCATCAATTTCTGCTTGGTCTTCCCAGATGAACCCTTGTAGGGTAATGCACTTTCTCCCTCCACCATTCTCGGTGGTTCAGGTAGACCACCATTCTACCATTCTTAAGGCTTGGTTTCAGCTTTACCTGTCATGGCATACTTCTCTAGATATGCGTTTCTTCATCTTCTGGCTTCAAGCACCAGTTCTGTTGCAAGGTTACCACCTGGTCTCCTGTTCTCTTGCATTTTCTACTAGGTTGCTGCCTCATCTGATGCCAGCTTTAGCTGCACAGTGTTTCAGGCTGCTCTTGCGCTACAGGCAGTCCTCCATTTTTCTATTCATGCTGGGCTTGTTGGCCATTGTTGGTGTTCCCCTTTTGGACTGCATTTGGGCATCCTGAAGGTAAAAGGCTTCCTATGCCCCTCAATGGACAACTTCCAGTGTCCAGTCCTCCTGTAGGCATAAATACAACCCTGAAGGTGAAAGACTACCGTGTTTCTCAATGGTCTCCCAAGATAAAGGATTTATGGCGAGTAAAAAAAATCCTTATTAAAAAAAAAATGTAAGTTTTGGCTAGAGTGGGGAAGGGTTAGAACTCCCGTTAATCTCTCTGGGGCAATTCTGCCTCTGTTCTGTTGACTATTGACACGGTAATGTGAAATCCAAAATTTTATAGTTGCTGCCTTCAGAACAGGAATACAAGAGAAATGTTCCAATGAAGACACCTATGTTCCGGGAACACCTATGAGGGAAATTCCTGTCACTTTGTGCTTTACACTCACTGCCCCATTCCGTACTCATGAAAGGAAACCAGACATTTAGAGAAAATTAAAAAAAAAAAAAAAAAAAACAAAAACCTGTCAGGGTTTTAAACTCTTCCCTACTCTGACCAAAACTGCTTACAAGTTTGGGTATACATGCACTTTAATCTGAACTTTGAGAGGACTGAAATCCCTGTTTACAGTCTGATAATAGCATCCAAGGGGCTCAAAGGGTAGAACTGGGGTGGGGGGGAGAAGAGACTCCAGTTTATATAGACTTCACATTTTGCCTTCATTTCAGTATCCTTTTACACCTTCCAGGCTTGGTCAGTTGTACTTTTAATGTAAAATGTGAGGGCTTAGCGAGCGCTTTCTAGATAGCAGCTAAATGCACAAAAAAGAACCACAAACCTTCTCAATAAATAACAAGAAAAAAAGTGCAGCGCTAAAACATGGTGCAATGTGTATGCATAATATATACACTATGATGCTAATATTAAACAACAAATAAACTAGCAGTCCACATAAATTATCCTCAATAACGTGATTAGCATAATAACCGTCCCATATACGGTGTACAGCAAAACCATATAGTAAAATGGGAGTGAATTCCCAACAATTACTATTTGAACAGTTCTTCAATCTTAAAAATCTGTGTGGCCGCAGTGTGTGAAATAATAATCCGGTGGTGTGCGATAAAACTGTAAGATTGCAAACTCACCAGAAGCGCAATCTGAATGCGCATTTAATCATATCAATCAGCCAGAGGTTCTCCCATCTAAAAAGGAACAGCCTGGTGTAGAAATCACATCCTGTCGGTCTGGGCGCTTAAGATGTCAGTCAGAGGTCCCTCAAGGGGGTGTGCTGTATAAGGGTCTGGTCACAAATGGGATCCCTCCTCTGGACTGGAGACACACACCGGCCATCTTTCTTTCTCACTGGTCAGTGTATTAAGCAGCTTCCTAAGCTGCATTCTTTTACCTGGATACTCTGCAGTTTTTATTCATTTGGAAAATCTGCATTATGTGTGTATTTATTTACTACTAGTTTGGATAACTTGCCAATAAAACTTTAAACATACTACACTATGGGTACCTATATCATTTGCTCCACCACGAGCACTTAAACCCCCCAGGACCCCAGGTGTGTGTTTCCAGTCCAGAGGAGGGATCCTATTTGTGACCAGACCCTAATACAGCACACCCCCTTGAGGGACCTCTGAGTGACATCTTAAGCCCCCAGACTGACAGGATGTGATTTCTACACCAGGCTGTTCCTTTTTAGATGGGAGAACCTCTGGCTGATTGATATGGTTAAATGCGCATTAAGATTGTGCTTCTGGTGAGTTTGCAATCTTACCGTTTTATCGCACACCACCGGATTATTATTTCCCACACTGGGGCTACACAGATTTTTAAGATTGAAGAACTGTTCAAATATTCATTGTTGGGAATTCACTCCCATTTTATCATTGTTTTGCTGTACACCGTATATGGGATGGTTATTATGATAATCACGTTATTGATGATGATATTTTATGTGGACTACTAGTTTATTTGTTGTTTAATATTAGCATCACAGTGTATATATTCTGTATACACATTGCACCATGTTTTAGCGCTGCCCTTTATTTTTTTTTTCTTTGTACTTTAATGTATTCATGGTGTAAAATTATAAGAAAAGATGTTTAAGCAGGGGTACATTTTATAATTTCAGATATGGTGTACTCATTTCACAGCATTCTGCAGAGTGCACTGGATCCAATCAGGCTGATGGGAGATTCCAATTTACTGCAAACATACCAAGAGGGTAGAAATGGTAACAGTGCATGTATTTATATTACATGCAAGTGCATACACACTATTTTCCATACTGCTAACCTCTAAGCCATTGTGCGGTGACAACCCAGTTATCTGTATTTTAATTGTGGTGTTTGTGTTAGACAGTAATGCATTTCCAGCACAATGGCATCTGCATCCCTTGTGTCTATGGGCACACGAATGGATACTAAGCTTGTGTTCACCATAAGGATTCATTCACGGGGGGATGAAAGCAGCTGTATGTAAGCTTCTTTAGTATGTACTTAAAATTTGTTAGATAATTTTTGTGTTTTTCTGTCTCTGGTTTGAGCAGGGTGGTATAAATCCCATCAACTAAGCAGTCATCTTAAAATTTCAAGGGCATTTCCCCTCCAAAAAATAATGCAGTTTGTGAGTTGAGCTCTGTACTACATTATCCACTACTGAGGAGCTGATTTCTGACCCTAATTTGAGGCAGTAACATCCTAAATGCCTGCAGTGGGCTATCTCATTTCAGGAATGTGGGAACCAGGGAGTTACTTTTCTGCTCATGTAAGGGCGTGTTTTTTTTGTTTTTTTTTCTTGAATTTGATAGAACTGTCTAAAATTATTGCGGGGTCTCTATGGAGCATTTCAGTTGGGACCAGCTATATGACCTGCATGTTTTACTATTTCATCTGGTGCTCTCAACCTTGGTTTGAGTTCATTACAACTATAGTATTACTTTTAATGTTCACATTCCCTCCATTTGGAATGAGGACAGTTGTCTACTAGCAAACTTTATATTTTAAATTTTTTTTATTTTCTTCCGTTTCATCTTTAGATACTCAACTTCAAATTTCCCTGAGAAGCTCACCCCATGACGCCAAGGATAGATTGTGTGAGAAAAGAGGCGTCATTCAAGCCCAGCCACAAACAGTTCAAATTCCCATCGACCATCCCTTAAAGACAAAAGCAAGGAAAATGTAATCCAGAAGTTACATCGCAAGCCAGACAAGCTGTCTGAAAGTGGTAATATTTCTTTAAATGTATTAACCAAGAATTTTGATTAGTCTTTTTTACTCCGTATAAAACAGGTGCTGTATTTTGCACTGGTTTCCTATGTAACCAATAGGCATGATTAATGTAGTCAGTCTTGTCTTGTATCACAAAAAAGTCAGAGCAATGGTTATAGCTAGTAAAAGGCATTAATACAAGATGCTGTCAGTTACCCAGCAGATACCTATTCATATAGATGGTTTGTGTGCATAGCCAAAGCTTTTCTTTGATCTTGTTCTGAAGGCTTCCTCAGCTGATGTAAATAGGAAGTGGAACTGGGGTTTCCTGGAAAAGCAAAGCAAGCTACTTGCAGTTTGCCAAATTTGATATAATTAAATGCACTGAAACCTCTTCTTGCTGCATGCCTGGTTTTGTGGCTTTTTTCCCACGGCATTTTATTTTCTTTATTTTTTAATTTTGGCTTTTGCCATATCTAGGATCATTGGATGAATCTCCGCCAGAAACACTATAGGAGTTGTATGCTTTCTCAGTGTCCTTTTTTTTTTTTTTTTGTTTTGTTTTTTTCCATGATGCTTCAAAACTATACAGTACAGTTGGGCAAATTTGCCTCACTGTTGTGTATAATGATTGGTGTAGGTATGATTGTGACATGCCATCTGTGTCATTCGCACATGGTCTGGAGAGTTGCATTTCTTTTTAAATCAATATTTTGCTTTTAAATTGGATCCGAGTTTTTTTTAAACTGTTAATCTTTTATAGTCAAAGAAAAAAAGTAAGGGAGAAGTTCAAAGATTTCTTGAGTCAGAAGTCCAAGAAAAAGAAGAAGAAGAAAAAGAAAGTGAAGTCAGGTAATACTTAAAGAAAACAGATTCTTCCTGCCCAGGCATTACAGTACAGCTCTGTGCTATTTACAGGGTCCAGCTTTTGTTCCATGGCTCTGAAGTCATGTCCTGTTACAGAGGAAATGCATTTGATTTTTAAACACAGAACCCCAATTTCCTGCACAGCACTAGACATTAACAGAATTGTTGTAAATGTTAGAATATTCATTACCCGTGTCTTAAAGCAGAACTCCAGGGGGAAAACCGTTATATGTCCTGACTTACATATTATACGACCTCTCTGATGAAATTCTGCTTTAGTCATGTCTAGTCCAGCCTACTCATTTTTGCTGCAAGACCAATTTTCATGCACATATTATTGAATTGAAAAAGTTGCTAAAGACCCTTGGAATGATAAATGAGGACCTGTAGAACAAAAGTTGGTGGTCACAATCTTGCCAAAATGTTTAATAAATGCCAGACTCTGTAGAAGTAATACAGGTGGCGTTACATTCCAGAGCTTGCCATTCTACAGTTCAGGGCGTTGTGTTTCCTAGAACTTTACTAGCTCCAGAAGATTTCACGCTGCATGCTAACGTGGTATGAAAAGCAATGGCAGATTTTTTTTTGAACAGCATTTGCTCAAAATAACTTTTAAATGCTTCTAAATTAGTAAGTTTAAAAAAAAAAAAATAACTAACTTTTTTTTTTTCTTACAGAGTTGTCTGGAAGCGAAGAGAACTTAGATGATTCTAAGGAGCTCTCGCCAAAAAAAATACAACCCTCGAGGCTCAACAGTGATTGCAAGGTCCCGTGTTCTGGCAAAAGCAACGATCAAGGGCGCCGACGAGATACAAGACTAAGTGGTACTTTTTGTTGTGGTTGTTGGTTCTTTCATCCTTGTTTTATGCTATTAATCAGTAGTAGTAATCTTATCTTGTTAGACAACTTCAGTTATTGTTCTTTCTTCAGTCCTTCCAATTTTTATAATGTTCCCTTATAATCCTGTTAGCAGTTTGTAAGCATAGCAGTACCACTCACTGTAGGCAATTAAAAAGTATTGCCACCCTCAATATGCTGCACCACAGATTTGCATCTTTTACAATTGATAGGTGGGTAGCTTGGACCCAGCGTATTAAGGCTTATGGAAGGATTGTTCCCTCGATTTTAAAGAACATCTAATTGTCAAATCTGCTAGTTTCTGGTCTGTGGGATCTCACAGACCAGCAGCTAATTAACTGCTTCCTGACCGCCCTATAGCAGAAATACTGCTACAGGGCGGCACAGGCGCGCAGTCACGTGTGTGTATATATGTGTGTAATAAATATGTGTGTGTGTGATTTTTGCATTTCCGAGTAGGGGGCATGCGCCCCACCCTTGCCATTTGCGGCTGTCAGTCACCGGGTCCTGGCTGGTGATTACTCACCGGTGCCTGAGGATCTCCCGACGGGGAGGAGAACGGTTTTGTTTACTAACAGTTCTCCTCCCTTTCAGCTCAGGCACACTGCTTTTGGATGGCTTTTTTTTTTTTTTTTTTTTTTTTTTTTTTTAATATATATGTGCTGATCACTGTATTGTGTCACTGGTGTCACATAAATCGCTGATCGCCGCCATTACTAGCAAAAATTAAACAATTTTTACCAAAATTCCAGTATCTATACCGCCATTTGTAAACTATAAAACTTTCATGCAAATCATTTAATTTACACGTATTTGGATTTTTTTTTGCAAAGACCTGTCGCAGAATACATTTTGGCCTAAATTTTTTTTTAGATTTTTTTTTTTTTTTTTAGTGCATAAAATAAACTCAGACAATCAAATACCACCAAAAGAGAGCTCAATTTGTGGGGGAAAAAAAGATGCAAATTTCATTTGGGTGCAGCGTTGCACGACTGCGCAATTGTCAGTTAAAAATGCAGCGCTGTAACACAAAAAATGGCCTGGTCAGGAGGCGGGGGGGGGGGGGGGGTAAATCCTCAGGAGGGCAAGTTAAACAGGCACAGCTTTGGGACATTCTAGCTGACCTAGTGCTGTAAAAACCGGCACAGATTCAACGGTGCTAACAGCTTCATTAACCAAATGTGAATTAGTGTGCTAGTGCTTGCAACTTGTCTGAAAATCTAGTATGAACCAGGTTAGATGTGTTCTCCGTTTTTTTTTAAATGTTTTTTTTTTTTCAATTGAATATACAGAAAATACATGAACAAGCAACAATCACAATCTAAATAGTCAAATATAGTGGAGAATGTGCAAAAATCCATAAAGCGCAACCATTAAAATGTCCAGTGATTTTCATCAGAAGTTGGATATTCATGCCATAAATAGTCTGAATAAATGAAGTACAAATCTATGTGAAAAAGTCCCCAGAAATAACCAGCTTCTGGAAATGGTGCACGTAATTGAGGTGCCACCCAAGAGAGAGAGAGAGTGCCTCAGAACTGCTCCACCAAAGGGGTTAATGGGCTTCTTACCAGAATGGCGGATCCCACAAAGAAAATTGAGCACCTTGGTGCCCGACAGCAGAAAAACACTTTGGCCATGGAAAAGGCACCTTACAAGTCCAAGGTGGATGTGCTGCTCAGTCTCCCACTGGTGAGCGTGATGACATCACGTGTGCAGCCCTGCCTAATGTAACAAGCATCTTCAAGGGAAAAGACTCTTGGTATAGAGAAACTCGTTGGGCGGGGCTGCACACGTGACAAAATATTGCTCCCCGGTGGAATAGCCAAAATAGGGCTCCCCGATGGGATACCCGGGTGATGTTTGTTTTTTTTTTTTTTCACATTATACTGCTGTTTTACTACAACCCTATAAACGTTGTTGTTGATCAAATTAAGTGATTTTAGAAGATAGGATAGTTAAAGGAATTAAATGTGTAACCAAGGTTGGTTACACACTGTTTTGCGTTTTTGTATGTAGATTGTTACTGTAGTCCAGCAATCTCCCATGTTTTTTCATGGAGCGCAGGATTAAGAGTTCGTTTTCGCTATAAACCAGAATTTGTCTAAGGTTTTAATTTCTGGTTTTGTTTTGAGCAGATGAGGAGACACTCAGCGACTCTTGCACAGAAAGCTTACTTTGGAGCGATGAGGACTACAACGAAGAGATCGATGTCACTCATGCTGATGACGATATTGATGATGAGGAGGATGGCGACTGTGAGATTGTGCGCTGCATGTGTGAGGTGCAGGAGGAAAATGATTTCATGATTCAGGTATAAATATAGCAGAGATGGATGTGGGAAGAGAACCAGAGATACTGGTATGTTGACATGGCTGTCCTTTGGTTTTCAGTGTGAACAATGCTTGTGCTGGCAGCATGGTGTCTGCATGGGCTTACTAGAAGACAGCGTTCCTGAGAAATACACCTGCTACGTTTGCCAGGATCCTCCAGGTATGTCCGTATTTGACCACAGCTGTTTTTTGCTCAAGTTCTGATAATGACAGAGTACCCTTTTTTTCCGCAAAAACACTTCTGTGATTCTTTATACACTAGTACCGTAACTCAAGGCTGCCAATCCATTGTAGTCTAAAAAAAATGTGAATAAACGTGTCTCCACAGATATGACATGATCTCAGTTAAAAAAAAAAAAAAAAAAAAAAAAAAAAAAAAAACCACAAAGATTTTTTTTTTTTTTTTTTTTTTTTTTTTTTTTTTTAATTTGTACTTGAACTGATGACTGGCTGCTTCCTTACAGGTCAGCGTGTGAGTCTGAAATACTGGTATGATAAGGATTGGTTAAATGAGGGCCATATGCCTGGTTTGTCCTTTCTAGAAGAAAATTATTCTCATCAGAATGCAAAGAAAATCGTAGCCACCCACCAGCTCTTGGGAGATGTGCAGCGAGTAATTGAGGTTTTGCACGGTTTGCAACTGAAAATGAGTATATTACAGTGAGTATCTTCTCATGATCTGACCCAGTCTGTCATAAGTCATTTATCGTGATGTACTGCACTGGGCATTTGTAAAGATGTGATGGTTACTTCTTGCAGGCAGCATGTTCTGTGTCCCTCTCTTCGTGGTCTATGGTCAAGATTGTGGGACATACATTTTATAATGGCAAGAAATAGACAATGCAGTAATATTGCAACAAGACCATATAAGAGTATTGCTGTGAAGCCTCAAAAAGGAAAAAAAATGATGGTTACAGGGGTGTGGAAATTTCTTAATAAAACTACTTGTAAGGGATTAAATTGGGGTCCTAGTCTACTTTTCCCTTACAACAATCTACTTGTCCTGATAATTTTTTTTTTTAACCAAAACCGTATTAAGGCTGAACATCCCTTCACTCAGCAATCATGGCTCTGACCATACCTATAAAAGTGTCCAGCGGAGCGTGGGGATGGTCAGAGGTGTCCAGCGTGGGGGGATGGTCAGAGGTGTCCAGCGGAGCGTGGGGATGGTCAGAGGTGTCCAGCGGAGCGTGGGGATGGTCAGAGGTGTCCAGCGGAGCGTGGGGATGGTCAGAGGTGTCCAGCGGAGCGTGGGGATGGTCAGAGGTGTCCAGCGGAGCGTGGGGATGGTCAGAGGTCCAGCGGAGCGTGGGGATGGTCAGAGGTGTCCAGCGGAGCGTGGGGATGGTCAGGGTGTCCAGCGGAGCGTGGGGATGGTCAGAGGTGTCCAGCAGTGTATCTGTTCCTGATACTAGTAAACATTCCACATGGCACTCCAGGTGAGATTAGATGCCACACTCCATACTTGCATCTCAGGTGCTGGCTCAACTCCTCTCCATTGAAGCAATCAGTTATACCATGCGCAGGAACACTGCGCACACACAGAGATGCAAAAATATATTCTTGATTTTAATAGCCAGCAGGAACAATTCGGCTGACCTGTTTCACATTGGGCACCATGCTTTCTCAAAGAAAATCTGAAAAAGGTAGTTCCCCTAACTGTGATGCTCATACTTGTTTAATCCATGCCTTGGAATAAGTATTAAATCTGAACTCCTGATTAACAATCTTACTTTCGTGATCTGCGTGCTTGTTCCAGGTCAGTGAAACCAGTGGCAACAAAGCAAGGCGTTACTTGTAATGTTGGACAATTGCAACTGCTATCTGTGCAGAGTCACTGGTCTTGTATCTGCCCTTCTATAGGTATTTGCAGGCAACCTTTGATAGGCTGAGCGGCTGGGTCTCTCCCAGAGCTCTGCTTTCTTTACAGGTTTTGTGCACTACAGTAATGTCACTGCTATTTTTACAAGGTAATATCTGGGTTTGCAAAGGCATTTGATGCACAAACTGTGGACTTCTAGTGTGTGTGCATACACATACATACATACATACATACATACATACATACATACATACATACATAAGTACACCCCATCAGATTTGTCAGAAAACCTTTACTCTTTATTTCAGAATCAACATTTTCTATAGGACACTATACTACAAAACACTTCCACAAATGTGGTCCGTTGATTGCAAACAAGATTTGTTAATTTGTATTTTTCCTAACAAATTCATTCAAGATCATATTGCAGAAATGAATACACCAAAATGAACGTCTTAGGAGCGAAGCAAAATTTTAGCCAACAAAATCGTAATTCACTAACAAGAATTCAACTACATGTGAGTCTAATTATTCATTAAACAGGTGTCCAGCAGACAGTTGACTATAAATGGATATTACTTAACAAAGAAAACCTCTATCCATTTTATGCCGTCAGCAATGGCACCACATGGAAGTGAAATGTCACAAGGCCTGAGAAAGAGAAAATAATTTGTTTACACAAAATAGGTGAAGGCTACAAGTAGATCAGCAAAGCTTTACGTATCAGTCAGAATACTGTAGCAAAAGTGATACAAAGATGGAACTTCAGCCATCTCACAGAGACGTCCAGGCCATCCACGGAAGTTAA